TGCATCCATACCTAGCTCACCTCCAAACTCTGGTCTGGGTAACCTATAATTACTTACAGCATAACTCTAGATGCAGAAACAACTGACCCTAACCTCCACAATTGCATAAGGGCAAATCCAATAATAAATCCCACACTCTACATTGTATTTCTGTTCTCTGACAGAATCTTGACTGATTCAGATTCTCTCCTAAAGATTATTTTACTTCTTCTCATTAATAACCCTAGGAAGTCTGCTGATAACAATATATGTTACAGAATCATCAAAAGTTTATATTTTTTGCCCTAAGTTAAACATCAAAACTAAAATGTGATTGAATCATCTTGAGATTTTCTTTGTTTCTCAATGGCAGTGCATTATTTCTTCTGAGGGAAAGTGGTCTCCTGAATGGAAGCCACTGAAATTGTTGGTGATGTATATAGATCCAGTAACTCTAATAATCAGATTTCAGTTAAATTACTAAATGGCTGGCCAGAGAGACCTTTGGTCGGACTCCCACTTGTGGGAGTTGAAATTGCCCCAAATTACCCTAAGTCGTCTTAACACTCACTGCGCAATGAAGGATTTTTCCACTCTGTGGGAAACAGGTGGGACTGGAAAGACAGTTTGTATGTATCGCAATCAATAAACCACGAACTGCTTAAATATTCCTGTGAAAGGTTTCACTCAGCCTAGAGATGATGCCAGTTTGATGTACTGATGTTTCTACATTGGAGAGGGACCTAACAATTTGACCTTCCTTCCATGAGGTAACAGAGTTTCATTTGGCTGATAATTTAGCCCATATTTCTTGCCACCTACACTCTTTGAGAAAGTCATCCTTTCGTGGGCAAAACTCTCATGGCTTATCACTTCCCAGCATATCTCAATTTCAGCATTAAGGACATTCAGGGCTGGAGAAGTCTTTGTTGTGGGACACTGTTTAGCAGCAGTCTAGGCATCTACCCACTAGATCCCATTTACACAGTGTTACCCCTAGTGTAACAACCAAAAATGTCTCCTGACATTTTTAAGTGTGGCCTTGGGAGAAGAGAAGGAAAAAGATTTCCCCTGACTGAGAACCACTGAGCCATTTGCTTTCTGCTAATTAACCTGGCTAATTTTTGTTCTTTTTTTTCTGGGAGAAATGGGGTCTCGCCTTGTTGCCCAGGCTGCTTTCCAACTGCTGGACTCAAGCAAACTTCTTCCCTCAGCTTTCCAAAGCACTGGGATCACAGTTGTGAGCCACCGCACCCCACCTTGTGGGCCCCCTGTGTTTGAGAGAGGTCCCCTTATCAGCAACAGGGTCCTTGCTTCGATTAGGACCTAAGCATCTGTCTCTCTGCAGAATCAGGTCCTCACTCTAAAACCAAGCCCTTCCCTCCCTGGAAAACTCCAGGCGGAAGTCAAAGCCACAGCTGGGACAGGGCTGAGGTGACAAGGGGCAGGCGCAGAGGGGCTGGGGTGAGGAGCTCACGCAACTGCCTTGGCTGTGTGCAGGTGGGTCCTTCAGTCCACAATCAGGGTCTTGACCTTGATACACAACCAGTCCTGGTGTTACAGGTAGAGGGTCTTGAATGCAAGCTGTCCAGGTTCTTGGCCTTTTCAACAAAGAATTGGGTAAAACCCACAGCAAAGCAAGGAGAAAATGAGGCAATGAAAGCAGAGATTTATTGAAAATGAAAGTACACTCCACAGGGTGGGAGTGACCCAAGCAGAGGCTTGAGGCCCTGTTACAGAATCTTCTGGGGTCCAAATACCCTCTAAAGGTTTCCCTAATCTAAAGGTTTCCCATTGGTTTCTTGGTGTTCACCCCATGCAAATGAGGTTGCAGAAAGCAAGCAATCAGAGGCTGAAGTGAAGTTACAAAGGTTACATTCCTATGCAAATGTCTGATTGGTTGCAGGAAGCAAGCAATCAAAGGCTAAAGTTACAAAGTTGTACTCCTATGCATCTTTGTATGGGAGTTACATAAAAGTTAGGGAAAGCAGAAAAGGGAGGGTGGTTTGCAGTAGCCTCTGGTCTTTTTGTAACTTAGGACAAAAGTGGAAAGTTGGGGTTTCCCTTTTGATTTAATTTTAGAAAGTCAGTGTGAATGGGCCTTAGGTTCCCTGCCTCCAGACCTTATTATCCTGTCTCATTGGGATTCTGGTAGCCTGAGGCAGCATCCCTTAGACCCAGATCCTCTGGTCCTGGAAGCTTCCAAGGTGGGAATCAGAGTGAGGCAAATCCAGCTGAGGTCATTAGGGGTCTCCCAGGGCTGAGAGCAGGGCAGGGGTTGGCTCAGCGAACTCTTTTGGGGAGAAGTCCTCTCCAAAGCACTCAGGGTCTTCATCCAGACTCCACTTAGGGCTCCAATCGAGTCTTCTGAACAGCAGTCTTGATATACTGTGCTCAGGGACAGCAGGCAGGTCAACTACAGGAGGGCATGTGATGCAGCCATGTGGAGGAGGAGGAACAGAAGGTTTGTGAACCCCTCGGCAGGGAGGTGCCACCTTGGCTTTCAGAAGGCCCCTGTGCAGGTATCATTGTGGGTGCTGCTCTAGGACCCGGTGGGATTCCTATTCTCTCAGTTAGTCTGTCCCCTGAGGACTCCATGGATGAAGTTAGAGTGTATTTTGTCCTACAGCCTGCCAGCCCTGCCTTGGATTTCCTGGAGTGATGGCAAGAGCTGGTAGTGTGGAGTTGCTCTTCTGGGGTGGTGGACCTCTTAGTTCACATTCAGTACCATCATATCAGCTGGCGACAGGGCCTGAGCCCCTTCCCTCCACTGTGCTGAAGTTGACATCTTAAAGTTGGCCCTCACGTTTCTGGAATCCTCTGCAAGAAAGAGAAGGGGCATTTCAGCCACCAACCCTGCCAGGGGGCATTCAGTGCTGATAGCCCTGAAGACGACATGCTCTATCTTGGGCTTGTCAGAGGTCTCCTTACTGATCTGAATCTAAAAGCCTCCCCACAAGGCCATCACATCCTTACCCCCTTGGAAGCGGAATTGGAGTCTTATGATACCCTGGCTACCCCTGTCTAGAGCTCCAAGTCCTGATAACAGGGTTGGAGCCCTGCCAGCCTCCACCATTTGAACAGGAGTCCAAATGGCACACTTGGCTTCCTCACCTGGACTCCAAGTAGGATCCAGGTCTCTTCTCTCTGTAGCACTCCTTAGACCAAGGTCCTCCCCTCCCTGAGATCTACCAGGCAGAAGGCAGCCTGCAGCGCAGTCCATCCTCCCAGGGCTGAGTACAGGGGCGGAGCACTGCGGGACAGAGATCTTTTGGATAATGGGCAGAGTGGTCCCTTCAGTCCACATTCAGGGTCCTCATCTAGATACCAACAAGTCCTGGCTCTCCATCCTTCATTTTCCTGATTCCACGGCCCTTCCACCAAGGTCATTACCTTCCTGAAACCTCAGGGTGAGCAACGTCCAGCTAAGGCTGTATGGGGCCTCTGAGGCTATCAGCAAGGGTGAGACTGTTTGCCATTTGGGCAGGGGACCCAGGACGGGGGTAGGCTGTCAGAGATGGCACCATCTACTCTTTTCCTTCCCTTCAGCAGTCTGACACAGCTTCTGATGGAACATTGTTTCTAGTTCATTGACTTTCTACAGGCAACTGGCAGAGCAAGATCTTCCTGTGCGCCCTTGATCTTTTGAGGTGATCTGACATTGCGTATAAATGGAGGTAATCATTGTCACCGACTATTTTCTTTTTTCTTTGTTCTTACCCCATCCCACTACACTTTTTTGTTTGATACTTGAATTGCTCTGGTCATGTATTCCCAATCAGTGCTTTGTGAAAAGTCCTCTTCTGATAGCCCAAGATATATGTTGGAGTAGCAAAAGGAAATGTGAGTTATAACACACAAGACCTGCCTCAGGATGGCAGGAGTGAGGTCGTGTGGGTTTTAGACATATTCAGATCCTGGCACCACCACTTCCTTGCCAGTTACCGGAACTACGGACTCAGGCATATTGGCAGCTTTTGGGAGCCTCAGGTTCTTTCTCTGTGAAGCAGCTTAGATAAGGCCTATCCTCTTGGACTGAGGGGGTCTATAAAATGGATACTGTGAACCCAGGACACTGTCTGGAAAGTATGGAGAGTTTCTACATGGCAGTTACTTAACTTGACTATTCGGACCCCAGAAAATACCATTCACCACATTGGTATTTTCTTTTTTCTTTTTCTCTTTCTTTCTTCCTCTTTTTTTTTTTAACCTAGGAGATGTCAAAGAGTATGCAGTCTTCTATGACAAAGAAAACCAAATCAGCCAAAATGCTGCTTGCTAAATCCAACTGAGTAATCATCATTCCCATGAGAGGATCAGTCATTTCAGCTGGATGTGAAGACCTCCCCAGTCAGATGCACCACAAAGATGCTAGAAAGTGTGCCGAGGACAGACATCTTTCCTCCCTCCCAGTTGCCCTTGCATTGAAACTATCCCTAGTTTCATTCACCACCACCAAAACTCTGCCATGCTAAGAACTGGCCATCCTATGTAGTTCACCTCATTTCCACTCCCTTTTCATGGAGCGATCCGGCTCCCCCAGGCCAGGGACAAACAGACCAGGTCAGTGGCTGCTGGACATTGTACCTGAAGGGAATATCACCCTCATTCTCAGAAACAACCTGATACAGAGGACAAACCACCTATGTAGTACGCTGTGCTCACTGGCATGGGGACACAGCACCGGAGTCCTCCCAATCCTGTCCCAGGTGGGGATGCAACTCTGGTCTACCTCATCCCTAAGGAACTGGTGGGACCACTTTTCCCTTGCAGTCCTAGTCTGTCCACTCTGAAACCCACCACCTGAGGGTCTGGCCTCTGCTTGCCATTTCAACAGTAGCCTCATCTAGCCCCCGATGCAGGCTAACTTGAAATGCCCGCCTACTGAGGAACTGGCAGTGTCCCAAGTTCCCAGCCTGCCCTGTCCCAGGGCATTTATTGTGGGGGAGGAGGTGATGGGGGGAGTATCCTATCTTGAATCTCCTCCCTCCTCTCCAGTCCCTTGATTGCCCCTTAGGTATTCCAGTGTATTTCCCCTGCCCCACCCTCCACTCCACGGTATTCCTAATAGGAGAGCTGCTCTTGGATTCTGAAATATCATTGGCAGGGGCTGGGGCTTACCCAGAACTAGCATGAAGACTGTCAAAGAGCAGATGTTCAATTCATGTTTGGTGAATGACATAACTTGGATGTTTGTCCCCTCCAAATGTCATGTTGAGATGTAATGCCCAGTGTTGGAGGTGGGCCCTGGTGGGAGGTATTTGGACCATCAAGGAGGGTCCCTCATGCTGCCTGGCCATAGTGAGTGACTTCTCACAAGATCTGGTCATTTGAAAACATGTGGCACCCTCCCACCCCCGCTCTTCTTGGCTCTCTTCCTCCCACTGTTGCCACGTGACATGTCTGCACCCTCTTCCCCTCCTGGCATGAGGAAAAGCTCCCCAAGGCCTCCCCAGAAGCAGTTGATGGTGCCATGCCTGCACAGCCTGGTGAACCGTGAGCCAAGGCAACTTCTTTTCTTTAGAAATTACCCCATCTCAGGTATGCCTTTAGAGCAACACAAGAACAGCCTAGTATAAGGAACAAAAGAGCCAGTGAACAAGTGTTCTCCTTTATGAGGATTTAATTTCTCCAATATTCTTGAATACACATAGCAACTGTGAGTATATAGCTTTTCATTTGATCACAACAAAAGACTTAAAGAAATAAGATTTTAAAATGTCAAAGGTTGCCAATCAATTGACATTTTTTCCCCACCATTTTGTGATCCCAACTGATTCAGTATTCAGTTTTTTTCACAGTTTAAAGCCAATCCTTATTCCAATGCTATTTCTTCTGGCACTAGATCACAATCTACTAAGTAAAAATTTCCAATTTGTTTTACCAAATGTAAGAGCATCACTCTTTAATGTGATAAATAGCAACCATTGTATGAGGCACCTAATTCATGAACTTAGATTTTGAATCAAAGTCAATCTCTTTCAAAGGAACATACGGTAGACACAGAAGAGAAAGAGGAATCTATAAGTAGCTTGCAAATAACCAGAACACAAGAAAGACACATGCCTTGGGCTCTCTCTAGCCCCATCTCGCCCTCAAATACTGAGATGGTGGACAGCCCTTTTCAGTCTCTTAGTGAAGACTGCCTGAGACTTCCCTAGGGCTGGGAGGACCTGCTAGATCTGGCCCTGGCTGCAGCTCTGGCTGCCGCTCTGGCTGCAGCTCTGGCTCTGGCTTGCTCTTCCTCATCTCTCAGAGCCTCCTCATACTGGGACTGGTAGGTACTGGCAACGGTATCATTGAGCTTGGCCACAAACTCCAGAACTTTCATTTTGCTGGTTTCAGCGTGGGCCCTAGGACCCCACAGGAACTCGCAGCGTGGAGGATCACTGCCGGGCACCTGCCGGTACTCGAGGTACCCCTCTCGCACCAAATCTTTGGTGACAAGCTCCTGGGGCTCCCCAAAGATGTAGTCCTTCCTGCCTTTATGCATCCCCAATGCACCCAGGCATTCCCACATCTCTTCCTCAGTGGCACGGTTGCCATGCATGAAGATCATGGTCAGGAGAACCATCAAGAGCCCGCTCTTGGGAAAGTCCCTGCCATCACTCAGACTCTCTTGACTGGGAAAGTCCAGCTTGCTGATAAGCATATAGAACTGACGTCTTGAGTCCATTTCCTTCAATTCAAGGCCAAAGACCATCTCTATGTTCTCTGCACTTCTCCGAAGGATCTCAGGGAAGTACTGCTTGTACTTTCTGTTGATAACCTTCAGCATGGCTTCCCTCGTAATGGGCTCTTTACTTAAATACTTGTTGAGCAGGAACTGCACCAGTTGGCCCGTCTTCACATTCAGAAGATCTCCTGAGCTCTCAGAGAAGGACGGGCCTTGGGAGGAGTTGGGACTTTCCCCCTTTTGGCCCTTGGCACCTTCATCAGAACTTACGAGTGAAACAGCTGTAGCTGAAGAGCTGGGGTATCTAGCTTTCTGGGACTCCCGAGGAATGCCTGCAGCGGGGGAGCTCTGGGAAGCACTCTGGCATGCAGGAAAGGGGGAGGATGGCAGCCTTTCCTCCTCTGCTGCGGTGGCTTGAGCACCCCTGAGACATCGGTCTTCACCTCGAGCCTGGCAGCGTTTCTGACGGGCACGACGCTTACTCTCCTGACCACGAGGCATGATGACTGTGCTCAGGGGCAGCAGGCAAGAGGGCACTGGAGGCAGGCACCTGGAGCAGGAGGACCAAAAGATGTGAGCCCCTCAGCAGAGAGGTACCACCTTGGCTACAAGGAGTCCCCTATGCAGGTGTCCTTGAGGACCCTGCTCCACAGCCCCAGCTGGCTCCTGCTCTCCAGGTCAGCCTATCCCCTGGGGACCCTGGGGAGGAAGTCACAGTGTTCCTTGTCCTGCAGCCTGCCAGCCCTGCCTGAGACCAAAATCCTCACTTCTCTGTTTCCTCTGAGGGGAAACTGAGGCCATCTGGACTTGACGCCCCTATCTGGGGCCTCAAACCGCTGACACAGGGAGGGATCCTGAGGTACTCTTGCTAATTTGGGGCAGGTGGCTCCACACTCCTCAGGGTCCTCACTGAGGCCCCTCCCTTCAGGTCAAGGCCCTCACCTTGCTGAGACCCTGCCCCCACCCCAAGGGGAAAGAAAGTATGAGTCCTCTCCAGCCACTCCTGTTCATTGTCTTTCTGGACTGGTAACCAAGTCTGGACTCTCAGAGCCTCTGATATTCTGGGTTCAGTGGCCCTGTTAGTCTTCACTTAGACAGGATATAGGACATGTCCCTCAAGCCATCAGATTCCTCCAGCCTCAGCCCCAAGTCGTGTCCACCCTGCAAACCTAGGGGCTAGAAGTGGGGGGCCCTCTATCCGATTCCTTTTCCTGGGGTTTCCCAGGACTGAGAGGGAAGCCAGACTTTGTGGTGCCCCTGGATCCCAGTGAGTGCTCTCCTCAGCCCCCACTCAGAATCTTAACCCTGACTCCCGTCACTACCCGGAAAACACCCCTGTCTTAAGCTGAGACTTAGTCCCTCATACCAGCCTCTCCATTGTGTAATACCTCTAGGAAGTAGTGACGGTCACCTCAGCTGGCCACAAATGCTCATCATTTCCCAAGACTGGAAACGAGATTTTCTGTGTTGGCCCCACAGTTACACACGGGTGGTCCTCTCAGTCCTCAGGGTCCTCACCTTGACTCCTGGCAAGAGCTTAACAACCTCCAGCAGCTGTCTTGAGGCTGTCCCTTTTACCTAGGCTCTTCACCTTCCCAAGATGCCCTGGGGAGAAATGCCACCCACCATGCCAATGTGCCTGGGTCTCCCAGGAGTCAAGGTAGGGGTGGTGCTCTATGTGGCCTACTTCTCCTTGGAAGGGGCTCCCTCTTCTGATTCAGTGTTCTCCCCTTGACTCCCAGTAGGTACTAATTCCTCCTCCCCACCCCACCATGAATGGGGCCTCGCCCATTGGTGCAAAAGAGCCACTTCTCTGAGTCACCACCCCACCCCTTCAGGACACAAGGGGTCACCAAATGCTTATGGCTCTGCCCATGGTTTCCCAGGGCACAAAGCAGAGCTGGGACTTTATGTGGTCTCTTGTGTTTTGGAGTGGTTGTTTCCTCCCTCCTCATGCAGAACTTTTTTTTTTTAAATGTGTTTATTTGAGACAGAGTCTTGCTCAGTCACCAGGCTGGAGTGCAGTGGTGCAATCTCGGCTCACTGCACCTTCCACCTGCCGGGTTCAAGTGGTTCCCCTGCCACAGCCTCCTGAGTAGCTGGGACTACAGGCGAGCTACCACGTGCCTTGCTACTTGACCAGTCCTGGGACTCCATCCGCACCTCACCACATGCCACATCTTTCCCAGCAAGGTCCTTGCTTCAATGAGACCTCAGATTTGGACTTTCAAGGTAAGCCACATCCTCTCAAGGCTGTTTAGGGCCTTCAGGGTGTGACAGAAGGGGTGGGACTGTAGGAGACCCCACCGTTCTGAACTTGGCTCAGGGTGGGACCTCTAACTCTTTGGGGCACGTGACTCAGGTCACTCTACAGACCTCAATCAGCCAGGCCCAGGCCCAGGCCCAAGCTCTCACGTATTAAAGTTGCTAAAGGGAAAAGTCAGGGCATGCTTGTCTGGCTATGCCTGCACGGGGTCTCCTAGAGCTGATGACAAGGCAGAAGAAACCTGGCTCTCTGGCTCCCTTACTTTTTTTTTCTTTGTGACAGACATGGGGTCTCACTCTGTCGCCATGCTTATGGCGTGACCATCGCTCACTGCAGCTTCGACCTGCTGGGCTCAGGTGATCCTCCTGCCTCAGTCTCCCAAGTTGCTGGGACCACCAAGCACTGACCATCATGCCCTGCTAGTTTTTGTTCTTTTCTTTCTTGGGGAAAGTGAGTCTCGCTTTGTAGCTCAGGCTGCTCTGAAACTGCTAGGCTCAAGCAGTCCTCCCGCCTCAGCCTCCCAAAGCACTGGGATCACAGATGTCAGCCACCACGCCGCCTTGTGTGCCCCCCGTGTTCGGGAGAGGGACCTCCGAAAGGAGGTCCCTTATCAGCATCAGGGACCTCCTTACGATTAGGGCCTAGGTGTCCGTCTCTCTGCAGAATCGGGGCCTCACCCTGACACCAAGCCCTCCCTCCCCCCATGCCCTCTCAGAAGTCAGCGCCACAGCTTGACTGGAGCTTCCCATGGCTGAGGGAGGTAGGTGCCCAGAGGCAGGAGTTGGAGGACACAGTGGGGTCGCCTTGGTTGCATGCGGGTGGGCCCTTCAGTCCGATATCAGGGTCCTCACCTTAACACCCAACCAGTCCTGGGTTTCCAGTAGCCTGAGTTGGCGTCCCTCAGACGAAGACCCACACCTTCCGGCAGCTTCCCCGGCGGGCGGAAGTCGGAGTGACTCACATCCGGCGAAGCCCTACGGTGTCTGCTTGGGGACTCTTTTTGCATAGAAGTCCTTTCCACTGTACTCAGTATCTTTTCCGGCACTCCGGTTAGTGTTCAGTTCTTCTCCCTCAGCTGAACTGTGCTTCTGCCTTTAGACAGAGTGACTACCCTACTTAAAGCATCTAAGCAGGAATAAGGCAATCTTCAGCTGAGGTGTTTGCTACTCCTGATAGGATTAAGCTTTTTTTTTTTTTTTAATTTTTGTTTTTATTTTTTGCTCATAGCCATTCCCTTATGTCACTCAGGGTCCTCACCTTGATTCAAGTCAATTTCTGGGGCTCTGCTATGCACAGCTGGGGCTGCCCCCACTACACCAAGACTCTCCTTTCCATGAGACCCTCCAGGCAAAAATGACAGTCACCTCAACCTGACAGCTCTTCCTGGGCTTCCCAAGTCACATGAAGAATGAGGATGGGGTGGCAGGAGTGGGGATGGGATAGTGTGGTAGTGGCAGTGTGGGGAAGGGGAGATGTGGGTTGGCAGAGGTAAGACCTTTTGTATCTTTCTCTAGTCTAGTGTGGGTGTGTGGTTTTCTAATTCCTCCCTGAAATTCCTCACCTTGACACCTGACTACTCCTGGAACTCAATCCTCCTGGGACCTGAGGCTGCTCCCTTCTGATCAAGACCCTCACCCGCCTGGGACTACAGAGTTTGTAATCAGGATAAGCCAAATCCAACCAGGACTATTCCAGAATGACAAGACCTGTCAGCCAGGGCAGGACCCTATGGGACCCCACTGTTCTGGCTTGTTCCTTCCTTTATTCTTTATTCAGGGTCATTACCTGGGTATTTGTGGGAAGCTCACAGTCCTTCCTCTACTGACCTGAGTTTGTCTTCCTTAAGACTCTCATGCTCCTGAGAACCCTGAAGGATAATTGTGGAGATGCTCAGCCTCAGCCCTGCCTTTGGCCCTCTAAGTCTAAGAGCAGCCACAGGCTGGTCTCTGTTGGACCTTCAATATTCTGGGATGGTGGTATCCTCAGTCCTGTACATGGGGTTTCACATCTTGCTTCCTGTCTTGTTAATTTAAGGCTTCCTGGGAAATGCCAAATCCCTGCAATCTCAACCAGTTTTTCTTTTGCAAACTGTGCAGAGAATGGCTCCTTTCCCTCAAGTGATGAGAAATCAGGAAGCTGTAGCTCAAGGCAGGGGTCCAAAACAAGTGGTTAGTGGTCAAAGATAAAGCCAGCTGGTTTATTCTATTTCTTCACAAGCCAGACTTAGCCTCTGCTGTAACTCATGTTCTAATAGATTGACTTTCTCCAAAGAAGGAGCAGGGCCACATGATTTTGTGAGTTCCCAATCTTTTCAGGTGTTCTGACATCACATATACAGATAATCATGTGGTCACTGAGTATTGTCTCTTTCTTTTCCTTATTCATAGCTCTCATTTATTTTTGTATTATTATTGCTCTGGCTATGTATTCCAAACCAGTAGTTTGTACACAGCATTTTTCTTATTATTACTTGATATACATTTTGGAGTAGGAAGAAGAAAAGTGAATTAAGATACATAAGATCCATCTCAGGCTGAGATGAGTGTGACAGTATAAGAATAGTTTTATTTTAAATAAGCAATATTTGGAGACGGTTAGCAAGACAGTTTAATTTTTTTCTTTCCTAATTAATATGTTTCCTAATTAATTTCCTAATTAATATGTTTCCAACATGTTTCCTAATTAATATGACCCCCTATGACAAGTTTGAGTACTCACAGTGATGTACATTAAGGAGCTCTCAGAATGTTACCCTGTCTTTGACTACAAGCCAGAGAGTCATGATTCCTTTACTTCTTGTCTGGAGTGGGGATTATTTTTAATAATGGTGAAATAAATCAACATTAGTGGCAGTTGTTTATTTGATGGTCCTATTGGGCATGACAAGTAAGGTAAATATTAATAGTTGCCTAAAAGTAAGAATTAACCCTGACACTTCCCACTTCACTTTGGCTATTCATGCTCCAGGGCTCTGGTTGTGAGAAACTGATCACATAGAGCTCTACAAAGGGAATTTTGTGGTTTTCTCTGGTTCAAACACTGCAATAGACATGAGGGATGGCAAGACAGAGAGAGAAAGAAGGAAAGAAAGAAAGAAAGAAAGAAGGAAAGAGGGAAAGAAGAAAGAAAAAGTAAGAAAGAAAATAGAAAGGAGACAGTGGAGTGGGAGAAGAGGAAAGAAAAGAAAAGAAAAAAGAAAAGAGAGAGAAAAAAGAAAGAGAAAGAAAGGAAAGAAAGAAAGGAAGAAAGAAAAAGAGAAGGAGGGAGGGAAGGGAAGGAAGGAAGGGACAGATAAAGAAAGAGGGATGAAAAAGAAAAGGAAGAAAAAGAAAGAAGGAAGGAAGGGATGGAAGGAGGAAGGAAGGAAGGAAAGAAAGAAAGCTTTATAGAGAAGAAAAGGTCTCTGCTCCCAAGAAGCTTTATTAGTCTCATACAGGAGTCAGCAAATGGCAACTTTCAGGCCAAATCTAGCTCACCACTTGTTTTTGTAAATGGAGATTTATTAGAACACAGCCACACTCACTAATTTACATGTTATCTATGACTGTTTTCACACTACAAAGGCAGAATCTAGTAATCGTGACAGAGACTGTATGTCATGCAATGCCTAAAATATTTACTCTCTAGCCCTTCACAGAAAATGTTTACCAATTCCTGATTTAGTAGGAGAGACCAGCAGTTACATAAATAAATATAATTCAAAGCAGGATATGATAAAATAAAAATAAAAATAAAAAGGACCCATGTAGAAAGTACTGTGTGAGTACAGGAGCATGGGAGGGCTTCATGGAGAGAGAATACTGCAGCTGGGCTTTGGGGTATGGGTTGGATTCAGGCCAGCTGAGAGACAAGAGGACATTTTCGGTGAGGAGGTCCTCAACGTTGTCTGCTTATTGAAATCGCTTGGAGAGCTTTGAAATAGAGTTGTCTGTGTTCCCCCTCCTTGAGATTCTGACTTAGCTGTTCAGGAGTAGGGCCTGGGCATCAGGATTTTTTCTTTTTCTTTTTTTTTTTTTTTTTTAGAGTCTTGCTCCGGAATGCAGTGGCCCAATCTTGGCTCACTGCAGCTTCTGCCTCCCAGGTTCAAGCAATCCTCCCACTTCAGTCTCCAGAGTAACTGGGACTACAGGTGCACACCACCATGCCTAATTTTTGTATTTTCTTTGTAGAGATGAAGGTTTCACTATGTTGTTCAGGCTGCTCTCAACCTCCTAGGGTCGAGTGATCTTCCTGCCTCGGTCTCCCAAAGTGCTGGGATTATAGGTGTGAGCCATTGCACCTGGCAGGCATCAGGATTTTTTAAAACTCCACAACTTATTCTAAGGGCAGCCCAGGTTGAGAAACACTAGGCCAAGGAAGTATCAGGGAACAATTAGGAGCAAGGTGTGAATGGAGGGACTCTCTGGGTGCAGAGGGAAGGGATAGTGCAGTGGCACATAAGCCTGGGAAGTAGGGATTCAAATCAAGGTCAAAGGAATTAGATTTTGTTCTGGGAAATGTGGGCATGAGAGCAACATGATCAGAGGCATGTATAAGGAAACATAATCTAGAAAAAAATGTGAAGAATAAAAATAAGAGCCTGTTAGAGGTTATTTGCAAGAGTTTAAGCTAAACAAGAAGCATATCTTGTTTAGGGCAGTGACATGTGATATGGTTTGGCTGTGTCCCTGCCCAAATCTCATCTTGAATTGTAGTTCCCATAATCCCCATGTGTCACAGGAGGGACCAGTTGAAGGTAATTGAGTCATGGGGGCAGTTACCCTCATGCTGCTCTCATGATAGTGAGTGAGTTCTCATGAGATCTGATGGCTTTATACGGGGCTTTTCCCCCTTTTGCTCAGGACTTCTCCTTCCTATCATCATGTGGAAGACATGTTTGCTTCCCCATTCACCATAATTGTGAGTTTCCTGAGGCCTCCCCAGCCCTGAGGAATTGTGAGTCAATTAAACCTCTTTCCTTTATAAATTACCTGGTCTTGGGCATGTCTTTATTAGCAGCATGAGAACAGACTAATATAGTAAATTGGTACCCACAGAGAGTGCAGTGCTGCTATAAGGATACTTGAAAATGTGGAAGCAAATTTGGAACTGGGTAACAGGCAGAGGTTGGAACAGTTTGGAGGGCTCAGAAGGCAGAAAGATGTGGGAAAGTTTGGAACTTCCTAGGGACTTCCTGAATGGCTTTGACCAAAATGCTGACAGTGATATGGACAATGAAGTCCAGGCTGAGGTGGTGTCAGATGGAGATAAGGAACTTGTTGGGAACTGGAGTAAAAGTGACTCTTGCTATGCAAAGAGACTGGTAGCATTTTGCCACCCTAGAGATCTGTGGAACTTTAAACTTGAAAGAGGTGATCTGGGGTATCTGGCAGAATAAATTTCTAAACAGCAAAGTATTTAAGAGGAAGCAGAGCATAAAAGTTTGGAAACTTTGCAGCTTGACCACACAATAGAAAACAAAACCCCATTTTCTGGGAAGAAATTGAAGCCTGCTATAGAAATTTGCATAAACAACAAAGAGCCAAATGATAATCATTAAGGCAATAGAGAAAATGTCTCCAGGGCATGTCAGAGACCTCTGTGGTAGTCCCTCCCATCACAAGCCTAGAGGCCTACAAGGAAAAAATGGTTTCCTGGGCCAGGTCCAGGGCCCCCCTGCTGTATGCAGCCTGGGGACTTGGTGCCTTGTGTCCCAGGCACTCCAGCCATGGCTAAAAGGGGCCAAGGTACAGTGCAGGCCCTGACTTCAGAGGGTGTAAGCCCCAAGCCTTGGCAGCTTCTACATGATGTTGAGCCTGTGGGTGCACAGAAATCAAGAATTGAAGTTTGAGAACCTCTGCCTAGATTTCAGAGGATGTATGGAAACCACAGGATGTCTAGGCAGAAGTTTGCTGCAGGGGCAGGGTCCTCATGGAGAACATCTGCTATTGAAAAGGGAGGAGTATTCCCTTATCCCCCTCAGAGGGCGTGCAACAGGG